CCCCTTGAGGCTGTCCCCTCATTTCTCACGGAAGCCCTGACCCTCCTCTGTGCTTCCCTCTGTGGATCAGGCTGTTCCTGACTTGTTCCACCCATGCTTGTCTCTCATTCTGCCTGTGTCCCCTTCTCTCTGCCCAGTTTCCTTTACTTCTCCCTGCAACACAGTATTACCCCCTCCACTCTCTCTCGCTCATTCATTCATTCAGTGAACATTTACTAAATGCCTGGTGTGCATCAAACACACGGGGTACGGTCAACACGTAGGTTATCAACAAATATCCCTCCTGAAACTTACATTCTAATGTGAGGGGCAACAGACAATAAATAATAAATACAGACTCTAAATAAATTATATGTTTATATATAACTTACATAGTAATTGTTTAATGTATGCATATGAACTATCTATTAATTAAAACAGTGATTATTGCTCTAGAAAAATTGAGCGCAGGTCTGGGGGTCAGGAAAGGAGAGGAGCAGCAAAGGGTTAGAGTGGTCACGATGGGCCTCGTGGCAAAAGATTCTATCTGCACGTGGACTTGAAAGAGATGAGAGATGGATGGGGGTATCTGGGTGAAGTGTTCCCTTGAGACAGACGCCCCAGGGCGGGACCGTGCCTAGCAGTTTCAAGGAACAGGAGGAAGGAATCGAGCAGATCAGGCTTAGGGGAGGAGACCGAGAGGTCATGGAGGCTCTTGCGGGTTATGGCAGGGCTGTCATGCTTTACTCTGAGATGGGGGGCATCAGAGCGTTCTGGGCAGGCCTGGATGTGATCCAAGCTGTTTGGTGGGTGGGACTGCTTGGGGGGAGATGGCTGTAGGGAGGCAAGGGTGGAAGCAGTTAGGTCTTTGAGGACACAGAGGTTCAAGGCACGTTGCCCCAGAGTTGCACAGTTCGTGGGGTGTTGGGAGCCCAAACTGAAATCCAGATCCAACACCAGAGCCCATGCGCTTTCCCCTGCACCAGCTCCTCTCCCAGGTGGGTGAGGCCCCCGGAGCCCAGGCTCTCTATCCCGGGTTCCAAGGGAGAGTGGGATGGGCGTGGATGCAGTCAACTGTGCCTTCCCTCTGCGCTGAGATGGCCTCCCTCCCAAATCAGGGAGGCCCGACCTCCCTGTTAACCTGCCCCAGGCCTGCATGGAGGTGTGGGAGGCGGGAGGCCCCAGAAGCTGGGCCCAGCTCCGGGCACAGGGGAGCCTGGGCATGCCGGGGCTGTGGCTGTGGTGGCGGGTTGCTAGGCGACTCTAAGAGAGAGCCCTGGTTACTGCTGCCTGGCAGAGGCGTCTCCCTCTTCTGCCTCCCTCACCTCCTCCGTGGCCTCTGGCCTCCCAGGAGGCCCTGTGGGTGAGCTGTGATCTGTGCTTGCCTCTGGATCTTGGCTGGGAGCTCTGAGTGGTACCAGGTGGCTGGGCCCCGAGGAGCCAGACTGGGCTTCAGGGCCTGCACTGCCCTCAGGGGCCACAGCCCAGGTACACAGCTGGTGCCCAGCCTGGCTCCACAGGCAAAGGCCTAGGTCCTTAGCCAGCTCTGGGCTCCCTCTCCAGGTGACCCTGGGCAAAGTGTGCCAGACCTCCAGATGTCCCATCCACAGTCCCTTCTGCCTGGCCTGCAGCATCCTTCCACCGGGGCCTGGTTTTCTGCGAGAGTGCCAGGGGTGTGAGCCGGTCCTGCTCCCTGATGGCTTGTGTCTGGAACACTCCGTTTTGCATTAGATTCCATTTGCAAAGAGTTCTACTATTAAAAAAAAAAAAAAAAGTTTGGGACGCCTGGGTGGCTCAGTCAGTGAAGCGTCTGTCTTTGACTCAGGTCTTGATCCCAGGGTCCTGGGATGGAGCCCCGCATCATGGGGCTCCTTGCTCATCCCTCTCCCTCTGCCCCTCCACCCTGCTGGCACTCTCTCTCCCTGTCTCTCAAATAAATAAATAAAAATCTTAAAAAAAAAAAAAAGTTTGAAAATCTGTGGACTGGATGAGTTCAAGAACTTACAGTGTCAGATTGAAAAGGTCATGGAGTACAGCTGGCACATCTCATCAGTACCCAAGCGGGGAGACAGGCCCGGAGAGACGAACAGGCCTGCCCAGGTGAGGCTTGGTGGGGTGAGAAGAGCAACGAGCCAGGGGTCAGGAGGCCTGTGCTCGAACCCCCTCTTTGCTACCAGGTCCTGGGTGACCTTGGGCAAGTCCATCCTTCTTTCTGGGTCAGACCAGCAGTGGTTTCAGGCTGGGGGCTCCGGGTCCCAGGGGTACCTGGCCAGGCAGGGAACAGAGTGGGGAAGAGTGCAAGCCTTCACAGGCCCAGAGCGGGCTCTCTTGGTACAAATCACGGAAAACATGGAAACATGGAAAAACATGAAACACATAATTTGTCTGTTCAGAAAACTCAGATGCAATTTTGCAATGCAAAATCCCCCTGAATTCTAAAAACAAAGCACAAGACTTAATAGGAAATTTTGACCTTGAGGCATGCCCCCAGGCTTCCTATGCTGCCAGCTTCTAGGGATAGTTTACATGGAAAGTTTGAGAAGCACCAGAGTCCTGGCCTCCTAAGATTCTTTGGAAATTCCCTGACTCGGTTCTCTCCGCCGTGGTGGAATGTGATGTCCTTTGGACTCCGGGTGAGAGGAACCTGAAATCAGTACCTGCCTCTGCCATCTGAACGGTGGGACTGGCAGCTTACTGAACCACTCTGAGCCTTACTCTCCTCATCCGGAGACAGGGCTCACAATCCCTGAGTTGTATGGAGCTGGAGAGAATACGAGAGATCAAAGACTTATGATACCTCGGGCTGAACAAGCAGGTACTGAGTGGGTGCTGACACTTAGTGACGTCCTTCCTCCTCTCCCCCACCCCCACCCCCAGCCCGCAGAACCAGGCTGGCACACTGTGACACCGCTAAAGAGGTGTCGCCTGACCCACCTCCAGCTGGAGAAGCTGGGAGGTGGAGCCTCCGAGAAGCCAGACAGCCCCCTGGGGGAGAACTGAGGCCCCTGAGGCCTCTGAACACAGGTGTGCAGGAGGGGCTGGGGAGCCAGGTGCAAGGGCAGGAGTGGGAAGGGGGTATCTACTGGAGGGAACACCACTCCCTGGGCGTCTAGCTCCCCTCTTCTCAGGGCCCCAGGAGAAGCCAGGCAGGGCAACGCTGGGAGGAGCCTTGGAGCTGTCACCTCCCCAGACCAGAAAGTGGCAGCCATAGGGAGGTGGCAGGGTGCCTGAACAGTCAGGCCAGTACCTGGAGCTGGGAGTGTGAGGGAGGCAGCAGGAAGGACCCTTCCTCCTGGAGACTGACGGGAAGGAGGGAGAACCCTCACTGGTCAGTGGTTATGGAGCTGGGCAGACAAATAGGATAGGAATAGGTCCATGAGCTGGGTTAGATCTGGGGTGCTATCTGGCATTTGCTGCCTGTGGGACTCTGGGCAAATTACATCATGCCTCCGGGCCTCTGTTCCTGGTGCAGTGAGACCGGGTAATGCCAGCTTCCCAGACGGCTGGTGCCTAGCACAGTTATACCCAGGACATGGTATTAAGGAGGCAGAGAAAAAGCAGGTCCGGTGGGGGTGATCTTGAAGGGTGATCTGCTGGCCAGAGTGAGGCCTTTAACCAGAGTTTAGGAGCACCCGGTACAGTCACCAAACACGTGCCCGCACACATTGCCTCACGCAGTGATCTAACAGCTTTCTGGGGTGGTTACTGAACCAGGCCCATTTTGGTCAGAGGCGTTCACTGAGGCACTGAGGCTCAAGGAGATTGAGTCAAGAGCCCTGGCAGTTCGTGGGAGCTGTGCCCCGCCACCCCTCCCCACCTTTTTGGCAAAAGTGCGCTGTGACGTGGGGAGCTCTAGAGACTAGCATGGAAGAAATTTAGAAGAGAGTGTGTGCATGGGTGGCAGGGGTAGAGCCCAGGAAGGTACCGAGCGACAGCGGAAGGCACTGGGCTGCCCTGGGCGAGCCACTTGACCTCTCTGAGCCCTGGTCTTCTTGTTGGAAATGGGGATCAGGCCACCTGATGTGTGGCGACTTTGTGAAGCTTCTACCAGAGAGGGGCTTGGGGGCAGAGCTCCTCTGCTCCAGGTGGTCAGAAAGGGAGGGCAGGCGGGAGAGCTGGGCTGGCCTGAAGGTGGGCACTGAGCACAGGTGGGGTCTGAGGTTCCCCATGGCTAATGGATGTGCTCTGAGGGGCTTACTGGGAATCTAGGCTGCTACGGTTCCCAGGAGCTCAGGAGAGTTGGGGGAAATTTCAGAAGAGTTCCAGGCCTCTACCCACCTTAGGGACCCCCAGCCTTTTCTGCTACCCCTGGCCAGGCCCTCCCAGCAAAGGGTTAACAGTCTTCTCTACCTGCAGTTGCATTTTAAAGACACGAAATTAAAGCAGGTAATTTATTCTCCCCACACACGAAAGAGCAATTAGTTCTAAACAGGGCTTAATCAGTCACCGCGAGATTGATTTCTGGAGCCCTGGGTTTTCGGGCTCCTGGCGCCATGCCAGGCTGGGGAGGGAGGGGGCAGACAAATGAGCCACGCGGCGGCATGAGCCCTTACATAATCTGCTGGGGGGCCCTGGCAGCCTGGCTAGCCCCAGGCGGGGCTTGGCTGAGCTGGGGAGAGGGGGCCTTGCTGTGGTTCCTTAAGAGTAGCCCTCAGGCTTCTGCCAGGCCTCCTGGGGAGACGCCAGGCCCAAAGCTCTAGCCCCTCCCTCTGGGCTGTGTGTGTTGTGGGGGGAAGGGGTGCTGGGGAGAGGGAAGAGTGGTGCGGTTCTGGGGTAGAAGGTGGGTCTTCCTGTCCAACCTGGTACTTAACACCTGTTCTCCCGCTCTTTACCCCATTCACCCTTCATCATTTTCTGTTTCCTTCATCATTTTCTGTTTCCTCCCATTGCCCCTTCTGGCCCTTCTCCTTCCTCCTCTCTCACCTTTTTATTCCCCCCTCCTCTTTCCATCACTTCCTCCTCTTTTCTAATGGCCTCCTCGCTTCCCACTCCCCCACCCATGTCCTTGTCTCTGGCCACAGAACTCCATCCGGCATAACCTGTCGCTGCACACCCGTTTCATCCGCGTGCAGAATGAGGGCACAGGCAAGAGCTCCTGGTGGATGCTGAACCCCGAGGGCGGGAAGACAGGCAAGACCCCTCGGCGGCGGGCCGTGTCCATGGACAACGGGGCCAAGTTCCTGCGCATCAAGGGCAAGGCGAGCAAGAAGAAGCAGCTGCAGGTACCTGAGCGAAGCCCCGATGACAGCCCCCCGGGCGCGCCAGCCCCGGGGCCCATGCCTGCCGCGGCCAAGTGGGCCACCAGCCCGGCCTCGCACGCCAGCGACGACTACGAGGCGTGGGCAGACTTCCGCGGCGGCGGGAGACCCCTGCTCGGGGAGGCGGCCGAATTGGAGGACGACGAGGCCCTGGAGGCCCTGGCACCGTCGTCGCCACTCATGTACCCGAGCCCCGCGAGCGCGCTGTCGCCCGCGCTAGGAGCGCGCTGTCCCGGGGAGCTGCCCCGCCTGGCCGAGCTGGGGGGCCCGCTGGGCCTGCACGGCGGCGGCGCGGGGCTGCCCGAAGCCCTGCTGGACGGCGCGCAGGACGCGTACGGGCCTCGGGCCCGGGCGGGGACGCCCGCCTACTTTGGCGGCTGCAAAAGCAGCGCCTACGGCGGGGGCGGGGGCGGGGGCTTCGGGCCCCCTGCGCTGGGCGCGCTGCGCCGCCTGCCCATGCAGACCATCCAGGAGAACAAGCAGGCCAGCTTCGCGTCGGCCGCCGCTCCCTTCCGCCCCGGGGCGCTGCCCGCGCTGCTGCCGCCGCCGCCCGCACCCAGGCCCGGCCCGGTGCTGGGTGCGCCGGGGGAGCTGGCGCTGGCGGGCGCGGCCGCCGCCTATCCCGGCAAGGGCGCGGCCCCGTACGCGCCGCCGGTGCCCTCGCGCAGTGCCTTAGCCCACCCCATCAGCCTTATGACGCTGCCCGGCGAGGCGGGCGCCGCGGGCCTGGCGCCGCCGAGCCACGCGGCCGCCTTCGGGGCCCCGCCCGGGGGCCTCCTGCTGGACGCGCTGCCGGGGCCATACGCGGCGGCCGCCGCCGGGCCGCTGGGGGCCGCACCCGACCGCTTCCCCGCCGACCTGGACCTCGACATGTTCAGCGGGAGCCTCGAGTGCGACGTCGAGTCCATCATCCTCAACGACTTCATGGACAGCGACGAAATGGACTTCAACTTCGACTCTGCCCTGCCTCCGCCGCCGCCCGGCCTGGCCGGGGCTCCGCCCCCCAACCAGAGCTGGGTGCCGGGCTGAGGGCCGCCTCCCGCGCCCCCGGTGCCCCGCCCCGCCCCCAAGGGGCTTCTGTCTTCCCGTCCTGATTCCCTGGGCCCCATCCCCGATCCCAGCTCCACGGGAGGATCCGGGAGACAGCCCCAGGCCTGCTAGAGACGTCCCTCAGAGGCTGACCGCTGGAGGGAAGCCGTAGGGCGGGGCTGGGGCGCCTGCCATTCCTGCTCCAACTCCTGAGACCCGCTCCTCCTGCCCCTTAGGGCAGGAGGCCTGGGGGAATTTCAGGCCGGTGGGAGTAGGGAGGAGCCAGGTGAGCTGCGGTGGTCGGTGGTCGGGGATTCTAACCAGGATGTGTGGCGTCTCTGAACCTTCAAGTTGCAGACGCCCTCGCCGCTGTGGATCACCCACCCCAGACTCCGGATCTGATTCCCAGCTGACACCTTCCCACTGGTCTTAGCCTCACCCACCCCAAGCCAGGAACCCCCTCCCGGAAGCACACCTACCTGTTGGCTGTTCACCCTGAGCTGTTTTCCTTCAGCCCTAACCCCCCCCCCCCCCGCATAGAGCCCTCAATCCCATGGTTCAGCCCCTCCTTCCTATCCTGGCAGGCCTTAGCTCCTCCTCTCCTCTCAGGTTGGAGTTAATCCCCCTTTCCCCCCCCCCCCCCCCCCGTACTGGTCTCAGCCTCTCCAGCAGGCCTCAGCTCCGGATCTACCCCCAAACTGACACCCCTTTTTCTCCGTTCCAGTCCTGCCTCCTCTCCCGTATTTATAAGTGTCCGGTCGGGGCGGGCTATGGGCGCGGCGTCCCCGGCGCATATCGTAGGCAGTGTACCGTGGCCGTGCCGTCAGCGTGTGCGTGTGCGTGTGTGCCGTGTCGAGGCCGTGTAGAGTGCATTGTACAGCATATTTTCATGAATAAAATTGTTTTAAATATTTCCCGCGCCTTGGGCTAGCAGGGGTGGTGGTGGTGGCCGAGGAGGGTCATTGGCAGGGATCGTAGGGTGTCCCTGTGCCTGCGTCCCTATTGTGGCTTTGTGTCTGAGTCCCTGTCGGCATTCCCTGATGCCTGTCTGCTCACACACATTGGTTAAGCGCCTACTGAGTTCTGGACGCTGGCGATGTGCCCATGTGGAGTTCTGCACCTGTTTCTGTGAGCATATGCATTGCAGGAAGTTTCTGGTTTGCGGGAAATTCTGTCCTGAATACATAAGCCTCAGAGGTTCGGAGAGATGGCACAGATATTCACTGAGAGCCTGCTAGTGTCAGGTCCTGCATTAGGTATGATTTTCATTCCCATTGTACAGATGAGAAAACAGGGTCAGAAAGGGAAAATGGCTTGGGAAGGCAGGGTGGGATAAGGGAAGGGAGACTTTGGAAGGCACACAGACTTCTCTTTGAATCCATTCCCTGCCACTTGCTAGCTCTACGCCCATGCGCAAGTTTTCAATGTCTTACTTTCCTGGTCTAGACCACAGGGTAGTAGCACCCATTGCATGGATTTCTGCGGAGGTATGTGAAGGTATGTGAACTGCACAGCCCTGCATTCATTCATTCATCCATGGAAGATTTCGTGAGCACCTTTAAGTGCCAAGGTCTTGTACCAAGCATTGGGGCTGCCAGAGAGGGCAACAGAGACACAACCTCTGCCCTCAAGGAACTTAGAGGCTCACGGGGGACACAGGTGGATAAACAGGCAATTATGGATCAGAGCTGTAATGAATGGAGGATCCCGGCTGCTGGGCGAATGAATGACATGCCGCACCCTTCCCAGGGAAGGTACCTGGAGGGGGTGCTGTCTCAGCTGAGTCTTGAAGGGTGAGTTGGCATTGGGAAGGGCAGGGATTCCGAGGGCGAAGGAATGGCATTGTTGAGAGGCCCGGAGTCAAGATCGTGTGGGTTCCAGAACCAAAAGCAGTTTAGTGTGGCTACAGCAAAGAGACTGGAGAGATTACCGATGATGGGGAGGCAAATAGACCAGAAGGGGGAGAGGGTCAGTGGCCAGACCAGAGGTGTTGGAGGTGATTCAAACAGGGAGGGGTTAGGGAGGACAGTGGGGCTGGAGGGGAAAGGATGAATTCCCATGTATTTTAGATATAGAATCACTGGGATGAGGGGGTGAGGGACAGGGAAGAATCAGATGATGCCTGGTTTCTAGTTGGGCACCTGGATGGGCAGCGCCATTCCCTGAGCAGGGCAGCCTCGAGGTGGGAGGAGCCCTGGGGGAGATGGTACGCTTAGCCTCAGATGGGCCCCATGTGAGATAGGCTCCATTGAACCCTTGGGATTTGGGAGGGATATTCAGCAGTGTAGCTACTGTGTGAATGGCAGTCCCTGGCACTGGGCAGCCTGGCGGCCTGGAGATGTCCAGCTGGATCATGGAGTTAGAAACCCTAGAGAGGGAAGTTAAAGAATCAGGAGCACCGAGGTTGTCATGAAGGTGTTAGAGAGGCTTGGGGGATGATGCTGAGTGGGAAGAGGTAGGCGACCCAGGTCTGCTCTGGTAAACACCTAAGAACACGTTGGCACGGGAAAAGGAACCCACTGGCTGAGAAAGAGCCACCAAAGGGAGAGGAGGAGGAAAACCAGAACACTGAGCTCTTAGCGTTTGTGAAAAGAGCGTGGTCCTGGAAATAAGGCCTAGTGCCTTTACTTTTTGGAGCCTCACTTTCCCAGTCTAGAAGCTGGGGCCACAGCCACTGTCTCAGATCTGTTTTGAGAAGTGAACAAGACTGGAATTCTTCTGTGAGGTCACACATCTGAAAAGTGCCAGAGCCAAGGTTCTTGCCCAGACTGTGTACCTCCAATGCCCAGGCTTTCCCATGGCCCCCACTGCCTCTAGGGAGGTGGCTGTGAGCCGGGCAGCAAAGGAGCTTGGAGCCAGCAGGACCTATACAGGTCCTGGGCTAAGTGCTGGGAGGCCAGACCTCCCTGTGGGGTGTGGTAGCTGTCCTCACTGGGTGGGGAGCATATAGAAGCTGATGGACTATGCCCTGGGACAGATGCCCCAGCCCCACCCCACAAGCAGACTCCAGGACAACCCAGCTGGGTCTGGGCTCCATATGGGTTGCAAAGCTGCCCCCACCCTAAGCTGATGGAGGGTGGGCTGCTGGTGTGCGTGTGCAGGTCTGTATGTCCATGTAGCGCCATATGCATCTGTCTGTGTGGGCCCATGTGCATGAGCCTGGGAAGGGGGGACAGCCTTGGTGATGGTTGGGGTCTCCCTGTCTGTGCACATGCCTGGGTGAGTGTGTGTGTGTGTGTGTGTGTGTGTGTGTGTGTGTGTGTGTGTTAGGCATAACAGCCATCACCTAGTGTGCCCACATGTGTGCCCAGGGCTGTGGAGTCTGCCTGTGTGTGTTGTGGGCACTGCATGTTTTCCTCTCTGGGTGTGTCTGCTGTCTTGGCGCAAACCTCTCCCTGGGTGCATCAGGGCCGGTGTTCCCTTGCCAGGAGCGTCTTCTGGGCTGCTCTGCTGGGGGATGGGAGGCGAGGGAAGCAAAGGGACACTCCCAGCCCTGGGATCAGGCCAGGCTCATGAGCCCAGAGCGGGGAGACCACCTCAGAGTAAAGACAGCTCCGCTGGGCTCAGGCCCATGGTAATTCCAGAGACAGCGTCTGTCTTTTGGACCCCATCAGGAGAAAGGGGACAACATCCCTGCAGCTGGGGGTCTGCAACCGGCCCTTCCCTGCCAGCCTTGGAGCCCAGCAGACGCGTCCCCCTCCATGCCCACTCCCTGGGAGGCGTCTGACACATGATTTATTCATAAAAAGCCATTATTTGTGCCAAAGAACTGAGCCGCTGCTTTTTAAGTGCTGATAATGCTCTGGGCCTCCTTGCCTCTTCTCCCCACACCCGCCTCCTGTCTCTCTCCTCCTCTCTCTCACCTTCTTGGGACTTCCCATCCTTTCACCTCCCCTTCTCCCTCCTTCTTTCAGCTCCCTTCCCATTCCTTTATTGCTTCTCCTCAACTCTTCCCCCAGTTTTTCATTCTCCCTTCACCCACTCACCTGCTCCACAATGAGGGGAGCGAGGCAGGGTTATGGAGCCTCAGAACCAGTTGTCCCAGATTGGGGAAACCAGCCTGGAGCCCAGGGCTCCCCACCCTCCTCCTCAGCCCTCACCTCTTACAGGGGAGGGGGGTCGGTGGGGGGGCTAGGGCAAGGTGGGGAGGAGGGAGAGCAGTCTTTCAAAGTCAGCTGCCCCAGGCAACAGGCTTAGTAGCCTGAAGCCTCCAAAAATAACACTTAATCTAAAAAGCAGTGCACTTTGCTATGCAAATGCGGATCTGGGCAAACTCTGTAAGCCCTTTCTCCACCCCCACCCCCTCGCCCCCGCCCCCGCAAGGGCTACCTATGGAAATTCTGGAGCCACCATTCTCTGGATGGTGCCAGGAGATGCTGGCATCAAGGGAGGTACTTGGGGTCCCCTCCCAAAGTACTCTCTGTCCAGACAGGAGGCAGCAGAATGAGTATCACAGATGTGAGCTGGATGCAGACATCACAGATCCACGGGTGTGTGTGTGTGGCCCTCATGTTCACATGTGCACACACACAGGCACGCACACAGGCACACACCTACTCACGCAGATGGAGAGTCATTCCTCCCCTGAGCACCTGCAGCGGGGGCTGAAATTCTTTCCCCATTCAGGTGCCTGGTTGCTCGCTCATTCGTTCGTCCATTCATTTATTCATCTGCTCTCTAAACCTTACTTTCACACCCCCTCTGGGCCAGCGCGGGGGCTGGGCACTGGGGTGGCAGAGATGAACATGGCTGGGCCGTAGGGAGGGGAACTGGAGCAGAGGGGGCACTCCAGGCCCCTCCGGCAGCCCTCGGCTGGGGGTTAAGAGCCCAGCAGGCAAAGGGTTAAGTCATTTGGCATCCAGAGCTGGAGCCATTAGGCCTCCTAATTATGAAATTATCGAGGTCCTCAGGTGACTGCTAATTTCACACACACTGTTCCTCTCACGGTTAATGAACGCCCGCAGAACCCACGCCTTGTCTTTCCTGCTGAACGGTGACCTGCAGTTAATGAGCTCAGGAAGGCAGACAGGCCGCTGGCTGGGTGGGTGGGGCGCCAGGCCTGAGGAGGGGGCCCGCAGGAGGGCTGTGGGGCCAAAGCCCAGCCTGAGGTTTGCAGGACTGGCTAGGCCCCGGGCTCTAGCAAGCAGGGAGAGATGCAGACTGGGGGAGGGCTTCAGGTCACAGGATCCCAGTTGGAACCTGGTGGAGGCTGGGGGCGGTGGTTAGGAAAAAGGCAGAGGATGGGGGAGAGCACTGGCATGGTCCTGGGGCTGGGGGTAGGAGAAATGGAATGCAAACAGTGGGGAGGGGAAAGCATTTCTG